CCCCAAAACCCCAAAACCCCAAAACCCCAAAACCCCTAGACACCTCCTATCAGATAAATTATCAGGAATGAGAATTAATTATCAAATATATTAAAAACATCCTAATTAAACCATCATTTATTTTTAACTATTAAATTAGTGATGAGAGTCCATTAAATTATTAACTATCTTGAAAGCATTTAGTTATATATTAGTATTATTTATTATGTACAACAACTAGAGTCAGAGTTAAGGCTCTTCTCAAGTCCAAGTGAGTCATGATAGCTTACAACACATTGAGATATTAAAGTAGACTATTGCCAATACAATGAGCTCTGTTACAGAAATAGAAACATAGCTAAGGTAAAAAAATACTGGTATTTCAGAAGAAGCTAGAAAAGCATTATTGGATGACGTAAATACAAGGATAGATCAAGCTAAGTCTGCAATAAACCAAAGCCTAAGCTCTCACAAGAAGGTTGTCAATAGTGCATTAGATGATCTAGTGAAGAGAATAGATCTTTTGAAAATTGCTCCGATAAACCAGGATGGGTCTATTTAATAAGTTGACTAGTTCGAAAAAGCCTAGCAAAAAGCGAAACTTAACAAAAAAGTTTTTTCTCAAAAGATATTTGTAGAAAGAGATTCATTACTGACAGAAGGAGATAAATCTGATGCGAACTTTAGAACTCTTGAGAACATCTTCATAGCCTTTTTAGCTTTGCTTGGAATTCAAATTTGTGTTGAAGAGTATTTTGAGAATGGAAACTTTTTCCCTGGACTCGATTTATTTTACTGGGTTTTCGGGTAGTTCGGCACAGTCCTCTGCACCCTTGGAACTATTTATTTAGTCTAACTTTCAGCAATATTCCTTGTTTAGATGGTACATCATAACAAACTAAGGGCCTTCGTTTATATTCCAATGTATGGAATGATATAAATCGGAATGTATTTAATAGGTCTATATGCTTGCTATTACTATAGACTACCACCTGCATCAGGTATAGTCGTTAGTGCCGAACTTGCTAGAGTATCGATGAAGGTTCATGCATATTTCAGAGAAAAGATTATTAATGGAGTTAACAAGGATGGCGAATTAGCTCTCTACATTCCTGAGTGGGCTAAAAAACTAGGTGTTAAAGAATCTGATCTAGACTAACCAGTAATTGACATTCAAGGTAAAATTTATCAATTCTTAACATTTTCTTTAGATACAATTACTGAGATAAAGAGATTTGCATATTTCTTCATTTGTCCTACTCTTGTTTATAGAGATTCTTATGTTGTAAGAAGAAAGATCAGATGGAATGTAGCCCTTAAGAATTTAGGCACTTTCTTGTTCCTTATTTTTTATGTTTGGTCTATCTTCAAAGGACTTTGCATTCCAATGTTTAAAGATTCAGTTGCCAACCCAGGTGGTTTCAGAATATTCTTTAGTCAGGTGATCTTCTCAACAGTCAGCGGGATTGTTCTTATGCTTTCACTATTCTATGGAATTCTTCACTGCTGGTTTAACTTCTGGGGAGAAATCTTCAAATTTGGAGACAGACTGTTTTATGAAGACTGGTGGAATGTGAAAGATTTTTCAGGCTACTACAGAAAATGGAATATAGTTGTTCATGAATTTTTATACTACTACATCTACCAAGATAGTATCAGATTTACCAGAGGTGCATTTACCAGAAACCATGCTAAACTACTGGTATTCTTCATATCAGCTATCATTCATGAAATTATCATAACTTGCGGATTTGGTTTCTTCTTCCCCATACTTTTCTTACTATTTGGTGGACCAGGAGTTATTTTCACAACCTTCAAATTTGGAAATAGTGGATATGCTGGTACAATGTTCTGGCTATTAATGCTTATTGGTTCTGGAATTATTTTAGTTTGCAGTTGCAGAGAGTTCTATGCTAGATAATCTCCACTTGCTCCAGATCTATTAAGAGATGGTCTCTGGGCTTATCTTTAACCTCAAAGCTTAAGATTCTACCTTGAGTAGTTTAAATGAACATTTAAAACTTACTTTATTAAAATCATTTAAAATCAATACTTTCGCTTAATGGGGTTTTGGGGTTTTGGGGTTTTGGGG